TTTAGTTTATTGTTATTTTAGCCCTAGGAAATTTATTATATATTTCTTAAAGTTAAGTTATTAAAAAGAAAGAAGTATGTGAAATGATTTGATACAACAGTTTACATACTCGTAGGAAGTTTGGAGTGGATAGAAGTGAACCGGTAGTGATTAAATCAACAACGGATGCAAACTTACTGATGAGACATCGATGAGAGGAAAGTGTTCTCGGAGGCAATATATGAAGAATTTTGATTTTTTTTAAAAAATTTTTTATTCCCTTAATATTTTATTAATTTTAAAGGAATATAAAATCTTGCAAATAGGTTTGAACTAGCACTTTATGAGCAAATATTAAATTTCAAACTAAATTTATTACAACTAGTAGTAATGATTATGTGCAACTTATAACTAAAATTCCTGTTAAAAACAATTATTTCTAAAAGAAAAAGAAAATAGTAAAATGTTAGTAGTAGTTATTTTGTGCAATTATCAACAGCAAACATAGTTTATTACACCCAGTATAAATGATTTTGATCAACTTTTAATATAAAAAAATATATAACAACTAACTAGTAAACTTTGTTCTAAGCCACTCGTAATATAACAAAAGTTATCATCATTAATAGTAGTGATTTTAAGCAACTCGTGATGTAAAAAAAATTGATTAAAACTAGTAGTAGTGATATTGAGTAAATTGTAATATTACATTGTAAATATTATTTATAATTGTTATTAATAATTTTAACAATTAGTTACATATGAAAAATTATTAAAACTAACAGTAGTGATATTAAGCAACTTGTAATATTACGTTTAAAATTAATTGAAATTGTTATTAGTGATTTTAAGCAACTTGGGATGTAAAATTTTTTATTAAAACTGGTAGTAATGAGCAAATTGCAATATAACAAACAAATTAATTATAATTCGCAGAATGATCTTAACAACTTGTAAAATGAGAAAAGATTTATTGCTACTAGTTGTAGTCACTACAACTAATTAATATCACAAAAAAAAATTTTATTTTACAACTAGTAAAAATCAATCTGAGAAAGTTGTAATACAACAAATTAACTTGACTACAACTAACAATTTGTAGAGCTATTCTATGGTACTTGTAAAATTACGCCTGTCACTCATTAAATGTACAAAGATGTTTCATTTTTATTACAAACTAAACGCAACGTCCTGTCCTGACTCAACTAGTGAAATTCGTTCAGCAAATCTTTTGATTTAAAGAACTTCTTCGAAAAGGAGAGAAAAAAAATCGTAAATTTGTTAAAGCAATTCGTTTGTTCACTTTAGCTTTACTCGTTATATTGCACGTCATAGCTATTGTGAATTATTGCCATTCGTTTTACTACTTGTTTCTGCAAAGCATAAGCAATGATAGAAGAAAATCTATCATTCCTGACTAAGCAAAATAAAGGATGCAACTTTATTTTCAATCAATTTTGTAGCGCACTAACGCACACACACACGCACACAACGACAGACATTTATGTAGCCATAAAAATACATGCAATCAATTTTATCCTAAACCAGTTGTGGTGTCTGTAAAGTAAAAGAAGTGCTAATAATAAAACCAGCCTAAATTTTTACTATTTTCGAGATAGATAAATAGAAAAAAAAGATGCAGTCAGTATATTGAAAAAGCATTCCTAAGAAATTTAAAACCGTTCCTTTTAGTTCTTAAAAAAAGCGCTCAACTAAATCCACAGGAATTTTCGACACTCGTATGTCTTTATTTGATGCCATGCTGCTCGCGTTTATCTCTTGTTCACCCAAAATCATAAGTATCATTAATTATTTTTATTAAAGAAGGAATACGAAAAAAAGCAGCAACAACAACAACAAGAAGAAGAACTAAAGGTTTCAAAACAAAATTTACGTTTCTTCGTTTCCCTCGATTCCTTTTTAACAACATAAACATTTTTCGTTCCAGCATAAAAATAATACAGCAACAAAACGAACGAAGGAACAATAAAAGCAAAACGTAATCGCACAAGGGAATAAAAATCAAGTTATAAATAAGAATGTAAACGAAAACGCAAAGTGGCATAAAGAACGAACATATAATAACAACAACAATAATAACGCAACAACAACAAGAAAATTAACAACTGTATGCTGAAAATACATGCAGTCAAGTTAAGCCAAGCAAAAAGCAAGCAAGCTATTCATTATTAGACGAAACAAATGGAACTGAAAGAAGGGCAAAAGAAAAAAAAAATAATAATAAATATAAAACATAGCAAGCAGCCAGCAGCAGCGCGCACAAATAGCAGACAGCATTTCTGTGTCTGGGAATGAAACTAACAATTTACTATGTACGAGAAATGTGTTAAAAACAAAATTGAGATTGCTTGCTTGCTTGTTGCCACTACTGAACGAGTGTGTATGCCTGAAACAGGGAAGACGAACTATGAACGGTAACCAGGCGCACAGCACAAATAGCGTATGATTCCAACAAAGTATAATACTACACAGCACACACAAAAGTAATCTGCAGCAGCAGCAGCAACTCTAAACATAAATGAAACGTTTCAAACGCACAACAAAATGAAACAACAACTACGTCGTCGACAACAACAACAACAACATTCATACATTTCTGTTCAGCTGGAGTTTTTTAGTAAAAGAGAAATACGTATACATAAGCAATGCGCCGCATTGTTTATGCCGCCACAAATGTTTTATGTTGTATCAGACCGAACGAACGAATGAATGTGTTTATCAAGATAGCACGGCATGGCAGAAACACAGTACATAGCATAGCAGAGTACTGAACCAAACATTAAAATTTAAGGTAAAATGAAAATACTACAAAATGAAAATAGTACAAAATAAAACTAAAAATTGCATATAAAATAAGAAAAAAAATCAAGTTATCAATAGCTTAAGCATGTGTATAAATTAATAATAAAAAAAAACTAAACTGTTCACAAAAACAAGAAAAAAAACACAGAGTATTTTAATTAAAGAGTTTGCTTACATATCAAATGAGAGGATTTAACAGCTATGATCTGACGAAAGGCACATGGGCTGGCAAATTTTTTTAGTTTTTTTTTTTGCTTTAAAAAATTTAAGAATTCAAAGAGAAGAGTGGAATAATATAATGTGAAAAGAGTGCAATAACAACTATCGGAGCTGCTTGTGTTTGGGAAAATTTTTTGTTGTTTTGTTTGCTTCTACTACTGTTAACAGCATGTAAGTATGTATGTATATAAAGAGTATATATTTGTAGTTTACACAAATATGTTGTTTCATCAAAGAATGTAGAAGTTATAACGATTAACAAATTATATTAATTGTTTATTAATTTCTGTATAAAATATATAACATTATATAAAATAATACGATACAAATTATACAAGTTATCCACTTACAATAAATTGAGAGCATAAAAAAACTAATATAACATTATATTAAACTTTAAGAAATAATTATTTATATTGCATGTGTAAGGACTAAAACAAAAAATTTTGTAAGAAGTATATAAATTAATTGAATGTTTTATTATTTTTATTAAAAAAACAAAAACTTCTGATAATTTATTTACAATCTTATTTAATTACTAAACTTTCGAAACTTAAAAATACCATTCCCATATATAATGTACACATATATGCAACTACCTGTTGGTTAAAATTCTATGTTAAGTTTTAATTTATATATTCAAATATAATTATTTTATTTCACTTCTGCAAACAGAATTGTTACCTCTCTAAGTTAAGCTTAGAAACGAACACCTCCAAATTCCAATATATTTTGCGCAAGCTAAATATTTGGAAATGAAACGAATGCATACTTGTAAGATAATTATTCGTTTCAATTCCAAACATTTGGTCCTTCAAGACGGATATAAACTAACGACAATTAAAATGCCGGCTACATTTACGCGAGGTTGGGCTAATGTTATTAACATAGACGTATACATTAATATGTAGGTGTGAACTTAATTGTGACTTTCATTACTCACTTTTGACAATTTTTACTAATACCAAAATAAGAAAAATCAAAACAAACAAAGCACAAATGTTTCAAATCAAAATATTTTACTTCAATTCTAAGCTAAATGCGACAAGTTAGAGGTTTAAAGGCAACCATTAAATAATACAAAGTAAAAAACAGCATTTGCATTTTATTAGCAAGAAAACTGCAATAACGACATGTGATCTTATTTACATGGAACATAAAAAGAAACAACAAAATAAAGCAACTTTGTCTAACATTTGTGGTCCACTTCTCTCACTCTACACTCCAAAGAGCACAGCACGCAAATTCTTTGCCTTTATACACTTTGCATTGCAACAAGTAAATAATTAATTAAATAATTTTAAACATATCTACGTTCGTATTATTTAAAATTACCTAAGCTTGGGGGATATATCATTTAAAATAATGTAAAATAATCCATTTGTTTTGAGATAATCCAATTTATGTGAGAGTGATGTTTTAAAGATGAATTTAATTTTTGTTTATAACAACTTTCACAATATTATATACTTTTAACTTAAATTTTTTTTTGCTTTAAATTTAAATTTTAAATGAATTTTTTTTACATAAATTTTCTCTGCTTTAAATTTGTTGTTGCACTTTTTGCTTATTATTTATATTTTACACTTGAGAAAAAATACACTCAAATGCAGTCATTTACATATTATCTCTGTAAATGCATGCACACACACACACAGCCACGAACAATACAATACTGCTGCTGTCAGACACAATGTGCAGTTGTTGTTGGTTTTGTTAAAAAAAACGATCACTTATATGGTTTTGTCAAAGCGACGGCGCGCCAAACCAACACATTTCTTTTAATAAAGGCTTTGTTTCTTTTATATAGTTTATGTAAAAACATAAGTAAGTTTTACTAAAATTCATTTGTATATTTAATTAGTGCATATAAATATTATTTTATTTACATTATTTTTTTGATTTTAATATTTATTATATTTTTATATAAATAAACATAATTTATTATTTTTCTAAATAAAATTGCACTTAAATATTACCGCACGCACTGCAACATCGACCGTACACTTCAACCGTCTTTGTTGAAATAAATAATACGTCGTCTGCAACAAAATACGCTCAATTCTACTACACACTCATGTATATACCGCAGACTGCTTATATATTTGCTCGTTTACTATGCATATGTATCAGCTGAGAAACTCTCAGTTGTGAGTAACTTATGTTTATTTATACAAAGAGGCCTTTTCATTCGCGCACATTACATATTATCGACGCGCAGCAAGCAACTCTCCTGTTACTCAGAACAGGAATACACTGGTGCACTCATACACGTTGTTGGTACACATAAGTGAGTGCGCTTGTAAATAAGCTATATAATTGTCCAATGTTGTTTGAGAGTTCGTTTTTTTTTTGTATTTCACTTTAAATATTTTTTCTTTGTATATACGGAGTATTGAGGCGCGTACTTGAAGTTGAGTTGATTTGAATGAGGGCGCTCTGTGTTATTGCTGCTGCAGTAGCTTAATTATATATATACGGATATAATGCTTTCCTTATATTTAATTTTGAGTGCTTTTGTATTTTTTTATATTATAATTTTCCTTTTAGACTCATACGAATTTTTAAAACTTTATAGAAAGTTATTTACTGGGTTGTTTACTTTTTTATATGTGAACTTAATTTTAACAGCACGCAAAACTCTGGGTAGCGGCAAGACAACCTTCCCAATTCGTAGCTAAATTTGTACTGAGTTGTTATGACGTATTCCACAATTGTTGAGCTGCTGTGCTAGTCAGTTGAAGTACATATTTTATTATATACTTGGTAGCGCACACAATTTTTGAGCATTGAAAAGGAATATTCAGCTGTTTATATATATGTAACTAAGAGATAACATTATCGTTTATGTGTGTGTGTGTGTTTGTTTGTTTGCTGGTTTTTATACATGTATATAAAAAAAAAGTAATTTATATAGAAATATGTATTTATTTACAGTCATTGGAAGCAGTTGTACGGGTTTTATGCATTGTTGATTTATGTAAATATTTTGCTTATGTACAAAATTATATATGCCATTGAGAAGTTGAAATTGTATGATAGCAGTTTTTGCTTCTCTGCTTTCAATTTATTTTTTCTTTTTTTTTAATACCATAAGAAATATTTTTTTACTTAGTGGATTTTATGTATAGAATTTATGTACATATTTAAATGAAGTATTTAACTCATCCTCAGGTATATTCATAAATTCATATGTATGTATACAGTGGCGTAACTACATTTTTTAGGCCTGTAAGCAAATTCTAATTAAGGGGCCCCTACCAACATACTAAGGGGCCCCTCTTTTTATACTCTTTACACGAAAAAATGTGAAAAGGATATATAAGGTTTGTCAAGATTTTCGTAACGCTTTAAAGGAAACGTCGGAAATATCATTAAGTATATATCAGTACAATATATATATACTTTTTCAGTTCAAACTACTCTCTCAGCTTTTGAACTCTTCGAACGAAACTTTACACACATACTTTTCGGGAGCCATTTGGTTTGATTGAAATTGGACGTCTATTTCTTGTATCTGTGATATAAACTTAACAATCGGATATGAGGTTTCTCCGTTTTTAATAAAGGTATTCAAATGGAATTTGGTGTATACAGTACTGATATTTGCAAAAGACAACGTACAAAATTATTTTCAAATAGATTTAAATGTGGATATAGCTTCCATACAAGTCTCTCGATTAAGACACATATTTTTCTTAGAAAAACTTTTTTATTTTATAAATAGGTTTAATATTTTATTTGAAGTACATACATATTATGTACTTTAAATTTAAAATTTACGTATCTTTTATAAAATGCAATATGAAGTTAATCCAACAAAAAACGTTTCGTCCCACTTTTGAGAATTTATTAAAAATAAATACAATGAATACAAAAATTTATAGTGGGGCCCCCTAAATTCGGGGGCCCGAAAGCGGTGCTTCCAGTTGCTTCCCTGTAGTTACGCCACTGTATGTATATAGAGATGATAAATAAGTATTGGTGATTCTATGAAGGCATGTAGATATGAAAATACAAAAAAGAAAAGAATTTAAATATAAGAATTATTTAACTTAAATAATGATTATTTTATACATATATGTATGTATACACACACTTCATGTATTGAATAGATTTATATTTACATTTATTTATATATAAAGAAAATATATCTATTCATAATAAATGTTACACATTAAATATATTTATGTTACATATAGATTTATGTATGTATATAAAGAAAATATATTTTAGAACACATTCATTTATATCTTATAAATATCAGGACATGTTCTAAAGTTTCCTAAGCCAGTAGAAAAATTCCTAACAAATTTCGTTTTCGATATAGACGCTAAGTTACTATTCCGGTTATAGTCTCCACCTTTAGTTTCTTATTATTTTTACGCCCCTCTTATTTCCCTTTTTTTTTTTTCTTATTATTTCTATAATTCTTGCATATTTTATTTACACATCATATGCGTCGTCATTTTTTGCTACAATTATGTAAATAACATTAAAATCCATTCACACGCAACTTCGCATGAAAGCAGTAGCTTAATCAAGATTATACATATATTCACAATCTCGCAAAAAGGTAACGACGATTTGAAACAGAAATTTTTTTCAATTTAATACACCTTCAGACATAGAAGAGTATGGCTCGGTTCTCATGTATAGTCCACTTTGAGAAATTGCGCTCACGTTTCTTTTTTTGCGATAAGTGGTAACCATCCAAAGCCACATTGTGAGACTTGAACCCACTATAACTACCTTTTAATCTCTTAAGAGCAAGTTGAGAAGATCTCAGTCATCAAACTATGAAAGACTTCCGGCTGAAATCGTATTTCAGTAATCAGGAGGTGACACATAAGAGATTAGTATATGAATTTTTAAATTTATCTAAGCTAGACTTGCGCTGAAATTGCCATTATTTATTAATAGATGCTTCGAATGAATGACTTCAGTAATAAAAACCAATCACACCGAAACATTATTTGAGCTCAAGTGGGGTTTGAGCACAAGGCTACCACTCTAACCAAATAAAAAAAAAAGAATTTATAATTTATTATTATTTTGATTAATTTTATTTTATACGTAAAAGGTAAATGAAATAGTAAACCATTATTAGTCATCCACACAAACAATTTCAGATAATAAAAATAGATTATTATTATATTGTGTGTATGCAATTACATAGCAAACGTGATCAAACACTGCTCACAAGAGCAATTGTCGGTGAGCTGCCGCTTATACGTATCAAATTCGATCGAAGTAATCAATTTTAGAACACCTGTCAACACTGTTTTCATTACCTCTAAAAAGGCGTTTTATAGTATAAACGATAAATTTATTTGAAGCGTCATAGATAGGTTTCGAATGGTGCCCGATATCGTAAATCTATAAAAGTAATGCAAATACTAGCAGCTCGAAGTGATTTCTGGAAGTTATTTTTTTCAAGTTTTAAATACGTGGAACAAATTATAGTTATAGTGAAGTGTGGAGCTAATGAATATCCCATTTCATCATAGATGGTTAGATACCTTTCCCTTGCATTGCTCGTAACCAAAAAAATAATGAAATTTTCGAACATATAAACCACTTAGTTGTATGCTAACATAATCGATGAAAATCTTTCAGAAAATGATCATAACATCAAAATCGGAAGAGTCCGTTGTTAATTATCTTAACAAATGTAAGTACATAAAAATTTACTTCGCCACTAATCAATTACATTTAGGAGTGTCATTATCCTAAGGATTTTGCTTTGATTATAAAATGAATATTTCTTCGTCTACACCTTTAAGGGTGATAGGACAATGCCCCATGTAATCCCCTACGCCATGTTCACATATAAAAATTTCTTTAACTCCTAGGAGGATCATATGAGGAGGAACGATATTTTTATTGATAGGTCAGTATCACTAATTTGTCAGGGTTACCTCAGAAGACTATCTCTAGGAATAGTACAGTAGATCTCATAGAATGGGGGGTATTGTTGATTATTTTTCCTAATAATAGACTATGAAAAAAAGTTGAAATTGGATTTTTTTTCGTAGGTGCAAAACCTATACTGCGCAGCCGCAGTGTGAGTTTGGAACCTATTAAAACCTCATAGGAAATAGTTGCAACGATCTCAGCTATTAGACTTTCGGTTGAAATCGTATTGCAGTGATTCGGGTGGTGAAATATAAGAAGCTTTGTATTAAAATTTCCAAAACCTTATGCTTTTTTTTACGTGATTTATTTTTACAACTATAGGTACTCAACAGACGAAAAGCAAAATTTTAATTTTTTTCATTAATGGTCACTCCAAACCAGACTCGAAATATTTAGTGACATGGGGTCTGTATTTCAAAACATAAAAGAAGATAATAGGAGTGAAAAATAAATACATAAAAAACTGCTTTCATAAAGAATTTTTATTTTTTCCCCTTATATTTCTTATTTATTATTCGTTATTTTACATTTTTTATATGCATTAATGTATATATCATTTTGTCCATGGAATAATAATATTAAAATTCCATATAAGCAAAAACTTACATATATGGTAAGTATGCCGACAAGGATATTAAATACACGAAATCAATCAACTCAGGATTAAATTATATCTGCAGTTGGTAGAGGTAGAAGTCCTTTTTATTAAAAAGTCCGCGTAGGCTTTCACACTTTATTTTCTCGTAAAACTAAATTTATCAAAAAGGATTCAACGCCATTACATGTGCATATTTGAATAGATTACAAACTTTGAAGGCCATTAAAATTTCATTACCGAAATACCTTCTCCACATTCTGCACGTTGAACACGTCTTCCAAAACCTGCGAGGATGTCGAAGACAAATTGCGAAACACGCAATAAATCTTCAATTACAGCCATCCAAGGTCCGCCGAAAGATAATAAAAAGGGTTCAGGCAGAAACACGCAGAGTTCGTGTTCTTTGTATGGAGAGGAAATGCTAGTCTGAACTGTTTTTGCGAATTTTATTTTTGTTTTTTTTTCGTAAATAAAATTACTGGAAATTACCCTCATCAATGTAGATGAAGAACAAAATGTCGGATTAGAGGAAAAACAGAAAAAACGATCATCTTCAAAAATTTTATTGTCTATTGTATGGGATTGCAAATGTAGTTCCCAAGGTATTGACAATCCGAGGTTTGCTCTTGAAATTAAATATTCTTATATTATATAAGGATTTATGTCTTATATATATATAAGACAAATTTTAAAATAAATAAAAAAGTACTTCAAACTTAAACTACATAATAGTGATACATTTTGATAGCAGATATGAGTCGAGGTTGTCAAAAAGTCGACTATGGTACACTTTCAACTATGAAAAGTGTACTTTTAAAGTACACCCCAGCATTTTCGGTGTATTTTAGTGTTTTACTATCGAAAAATTGAAAATACTGTAGAAGTACAAAAAGAAATTATACGTTGTGTTTACAAAAGATGCCTTGACCTCACCATATCCTCCAGAACCACCAATTCAGATTTTTAACTATTTCAGTTCTTCTAAAAATTTTAAATCAAA